GCCTACCACGGCGCTCCGGTTGCTGTGCAGGTCATTGGGAAGAAGTTGAGCGAGGAGAAGACGTTGGCGATTGCGGAGGAGATTGGGAGGTTGCTGGGTAATGAGGTGACGCCTTGAGGGATAGTCGAATACAAATGTACACGCATTAAGACAAAAGAAATGGTGCAAGCGTCAAGACGAATACTGGAAGTCTTCAGAATAGTGCAAGCTATGGGGTTGTGTGATCTACACATGTGGCGTGAGTGTTGAAAGTTCGGCCAATTGAGTCAAGGGCTTGGCGTGCGCCTCAGTGTGGCGCTGGCGCGTAGCTCTTCATAGAAGGTGGGAACAGGCTGGCGCGTGCGCAGTCTAATACGGCAATACGGAGCGGATTCCTGGTAGCAGAACGTCATCGAGTACGGGGAGGACGCTCAGATCGGGTCCATGCGTGTGCCACAATCTTAATGCTCCTTACCCACAGAGACGGGTCGCGCACGACAGACAGTGTTGACAAAGGTGTTGTTCTGCTGCGCGCAACAAAATCACTGTGTCGCTGTCAGCCTCAAAGAGAAAGGGCCTAGGCCAAACGGCTGTCTGTAGTTTCAGATTAAAGACCAGGCCAGCGGTTGTTTGGCTCAAACGGCGGGCGGTTGGCAAAGTAGCGCGCCCACCAGCGCCAGTGACGCCGCCAAGCCCCCGACTGACCGCGTATCAGGGAATGCGAGGGTTGAAACACGTCGCCGTGTGCGCCATGCCAGTCACCTCCAAGTTCATAACGAACCCTCTCTTTGACGTTCTCATTCACCCCCTCTGTGCGACTCTACTACCCTAATAATTATCTGCAACCGCAAATAACAGCGGCTGCTCCTCCCTGCCCTTCTTCCATGGCCATCTGCGCTTAAGACAGGGGTTCCGATTCACAACTTGACCGCATACGCGACCTGCACCGCTCTGAGCCATGTCCGACCCCAACAAGCCATCGCCAGAGTCGCGGCGGAACCAGAGCATCGAAAACTTCGCCGCGTCGCTCTCCACCGCCGCCGCCATTTTCGGCATCCAGATTGTTGTTTTCTTGATTCTGAGTGGCAACTGGAAGCTGCACAAGGGAGTCACCAAGAAGAAGACCGTAGATGATGCAGACCAGGCCGACAAGGCGGCGGCACGACAGAGTCTGTTCCACAAGATATAGTATGCGACGCCGCTTCCCTGCCTACATACCCCCATGTGCTAACCATCGCCAGCTACTACAAGACCGCCTTCGTACCCGTAGCCAAGCGCATCGCAGCGCCCACGACCGCCATCGACTCATTCCGCAATGTCTTTACCATCAGCGACAAGGAGCTCATCCGCGTCGCCGGTGTCGACGGCTACCTCTTCCTCCAATACCTACAGCTCCTGCTCCGCATCTTCATACCCATGGCACTCATTATCCTGCCTGTCCTCCTACCAATAAACCGAAAGGGCGACGAGCCCGGTGTCTCGGGCTTGGACTCCTTCGCCTGGCCCAATGTCGCCTTCCCGAATAAGCGACACCGCCTGTGGGCGCACTGCATCATTGCCGTATCCGTTGTATGCTGGGTGTGCTTCAATTTCTACTTGGCGCTGAGGCAATTCGTGCGCCTCAGGCAGACCGTTCTCACCAGGCCCGAGCATCGCATCCGAGCATCTGCTACCACTATTCTCGTGCAAAGCATTCCTGAGAAGTGGCTCACGGTTCCCGCGCTCGACGCCCTCTACGATGTCTTCCCCGGCGGCATCAAAGATATCTGGATCAACCGCAACTACGACGATCTTATGGACAAGGTCAACGACCGAACCAAGATCGCACGGAGCCTTGAAGCGGCCGAAACAAATCTCATCATCACATGCACCAAAAAACACAAGAAGATGGAGGAGAAGGCCGCCAAGGAGGCTGGAAAGAAGAAGTCCAAGGCGGAAAAGAAGCACGACGAGGCGATGCAGAACCACGCAATCAACCAGGAGACTCACGAACAAGGTGTGGATGCCGGTAACCCCCACGAGATCGAGCAACAACTCCAAAAGGTCCTGGCAGAGTCTGCATCATCATCATCCTCTTCTTCGCGGTCGACTTCCCCTGATCGCAAGCGCGGCGTGAACATGAACCCATTGCCCTTTTTAGGAGAAGGCATGCACGCTGTCGGCAAAGGCTTCCGCGATGTCGGCCAGGGTGTGGATCGCTTCAACAAGAACGTCTATGGTGGAATGCGAGGAGTTTTCGGCGGAAAGTCCCGTCAGGCTGGTCAAGCGCGGAACCCTGAGGAAGCACAGCCAAGTTTCGACGGCAGCGATGAGGTTCCAGCATCGTCACCCACATCTGCGGACTACCACCAAAGGGCCGCTAGCAGCGACACCCATACTCCATTGGCCACCAAAGAGAAGTACGATTCTGAAGGTACCGTGACAGAGCCCAACTCTCCTCAGACGAACTTGAAAGCACCCGCAGCCGAGACGGACACCAAAGAAGCCAAGCCTGTACAACCTGCATGGAAGCACCCGCTCAACAAGCTCAAGGCCATGTACGTCGGTCAGGGTGACTTCATCAGCCCAAGTCCATTCGTGAAAGAGGGAGAAGAGCTACCACTAGAAGTCAAGGATGCCAGTAAGATCAAGTACGACCTATCAGGCTTGTACGACGAGTCTATGGAAGAGGATGGCGAGGACGCTCTCTGGAGAAAATACATGAAGCCAAAGGACAGAGAAACGATGCGTCTGCCCATCTTGAATTTCTCGTGGTGGCCGTCGCTGCCTCTGATTGGCAAGAAGGTGGACACCATCTACCATTGCCGCAAGGAGCTTGCCCGCCTTAACGCTGAGATTGCCGACGACCAGGCTCACCCAGAGCGCTTCCCACTCATGAACTCGGCCTTTATTCAATTCAACCACCAGGTTGCTGCACACATGGCCTGTCAGTCATTGAGTCACCACATTCCCCGGCAAATGAACCCACGAACCGTCGAGGTTAACCCCAACTACGTCATCTGGGACAACTTGACCATGAAGTGGTGGGAGCGCTACCTACGCATGTTTGGAGTCATTCTACTCATCGTTGGACTTATCATCTTCTGGGGTATTCCCGTCAGTTTTACAGGAGCTCTGTCCCAAGTCGACTCTCTGACCGAAACATTGCCATGGCTTGGTTTCATCAATGATGCTCCCGACTGGGTCGTTAGTTTGATTCAGGGTGTGTTGCCACCAGCCTTCTTGGCTATTCTCTTCGCTATTCTGCCCCTACTCCTGCGCTTCCTGGCTGGTCTCACCGGTACGACGACATTTGGCGAACGCGAGTTGCTTGTACAGAACTTCTACTTCGCCTTCGTATTTGTCCAACTGTTCCTGGTTGTTTCCATCTCTACCGGTATCACTTCGACCATCGACGATCTGCTCAACGATCCACTCAGTGTCCCCCAGACATTGGCGCAGAACCTCCCCAAGGCCGCCAACTACTTCTTCTCTTACATGATTCTGCAAGCGCTTAGTATCAGTTCCGGTACTCTGCTGCAAATTGGTGCTGTCGTTGTTATCATCTTCCTGCGTTTTCTGGACACCACACCGCGCGAGAAGGTTTCAAGGGTGTTGCAAAGACCGGGTATCAACTGGGGTACCATGATCCCGGTCTATACCAACTTTGCCGCCATTGGTAAGTTTGTCTATCGAGATAAACATTCACATAAACTAACGATGCCCAGGTCTCATCTACTCAGTCGTCGCGCCCTTGATCCTAATCATGATGTTGATTACCTTCAGTCTCTTCTGGTTTACCTACAGGTACCAGATGATCTACGTCAGCTACGCCAAGGCCGAAACCAACGGTCTCATCTTCCCCAAAGCGGTCAACCAGCTGTTCACCGGACTCTACTTCCTCGAGCTCTGCATGATCGGTTTGTTTTTCCTGCAGGAAGACGAGCAGGGGAGGCAATCGTGTTTCCCTCAGGCTATTATCATGATCATCATTATGGTCTTCACTGTGCTTTACCAGGTCGTGCTGAACAGAGCGTTCGGGCCTCTCTTCACGTACTTGCCAATTACATTCGAGGACGAGGCGGTCCTGCGAGACGAAGAGTGGCAGCGGGCACAGGCCAGCAAGTGGGAACGGGAGGACGAACACCAAGGTCTCATGTCTCAGGAAGACGCACAGCGGACAGCCGAGGAGCGCGAACGAGCCCACCTAGACGAACAAAACCGCCTCGAGGAAAGGAAGGAACGCGAGGCAGCCCATGGCCCTGGATCATACGAGCTCAGCAATCTGGATGGTAACATGCCACCGGCCGGCTACGGACAGTCACCTCGACCCGACAATCGTGCGCGCAACTCAAGCTGGGCTGACCGCTCACAACGCTCCCGTCGCAGTTCGCGCTCGCAGTCCCACCACAAGAAGCGCAAGGACCCTCTAGACATTATGACCAACGCCCTCAAGAAGGGTCTCGACGACGTCGCAAAGCCCATCCGCGACGCAGAAGCGCAAGTCCTTCCCGCTGGCAACCTTTTCGACGAAGTCGACGACGAGCTCGCCGACATCGAGCCCGAAGCCCGCCAGAAGCTCATCAAGCGCTCTTTCCAACATCCAGCGACCCGCGCTATCCAGCCCGCTGTTTGGATTCCGCACGACGACTTGGGTGTCGCTAAGGATGAGATCCAGCGTACTAGTGCATTTACCAAGCGCGTGTGGATCACGAGTGTGAATGCACGGTTGGATGCGAGTGGTAGTGTTATTTACAGGGGATTGCCGCCGGATCGGGATCCGTTTGAGAATATTGAGGTTTAGACGGGTTGTTGTTGAGAACGATGGAAGGTAGACTTGTTGTATCATCATTGTGGTGTGGGGGTTGTTTTCTTTTCTCTTTTTCGTTAGCCGTTCGCGGCACCTTTATAGCATACAAGCATAGCGTGGAGTTTCATGGCATTGGGGCGGCATCAGATGCATTCATCGTCTTCTTCTAAGACTATTACTACCTATTCCGTATAACTACCTAACTTTAGAGGTGTAGGACCTCATCCGTTATTCAAAATATCAGATCCTCCAGATTATCGTTCCAGCCGCACACAAACTCGTCTGTTGCCGCATTCGCAAGCCCATCATCCGCCGCAGCTCTAGCCTCAAAGGCATCCATGAGCTCCTCAAAGGAACCCTGCTCCACGATCTCAGGTTCTTGGGGTAGCGGGGGTTCCGCCCATATACTCTCAGCCGCCGTATACACGGGCAAAGAGAAGGCCGGGAGGTCGTCAGCGGGCGCCACATCCCTGATCCAAGGTTCTTGGCACATCGGGGCGTCCGCCCATATACTCTCAGCCGCTGAAAACGCGGGCAAAGAGAAGGCCGGGAGGTTGTCAACGGTTTCTACAGCTTCGGTGCTGTCTTGCCCACGCTCTTGTAGGCGGCAGGGGGTTCCTGCCTCGACGCCTTGGTCGATGGTGTACTCGTTGAAGTCGGCAAACGGGGCGGCTTCGAACGCGAAATTGTCCTCTAATGAGGAGGGGGTGGTGGTCGTGGTGGTCGTGGTGGTGTCAGGAGTTGGTACCTGGGCTACGACGACCGGCCTAGTCTTGGGGGGTCTTCCCCTCTTCTTTGGTACCTTGGGCACCTCGTCCATAGGCTTCGCCTTAGGAGGCCTGCCCCTCTTCTTTGGTACCTTTGGTACCTCATCTTCGCCTCCTGACTGCCTCTTCCTCTTGGTAGGCGCGGAGGAAACGGGGACGGAGGGAGTTGTTGGCCATGTTGGAGGCACCTCCCCGCCATCATCCCGTGTGAGGTCGAAAACCTGACCATTGGTAGTAGCATCGATGATGCTACTCTGCTGCTGCCACCCAGGCGTGAAGTTCCTCCTAACATTCTGAAACATAGGCTTTGGGACGAAAGCAGTCTGAACCACAGGCTGACTAAACCTCTGTGGCTGCTGTGCGTAGGGGGAAGAATAGCGATTAGTAGCAGCGACGCCAGGAGTGCTCACGGCGCCGGGCTGTGGCCTACCCGGCATGTGAGAGTAGTGTTGCTGGTTGGGGACGAAACCAGCAGGGTAGCAATTAGTGGCAGCGACGCCAGGAGCGTTCACGGCGCCGGGTTGTGACCTACCCGGCATGTGAGAAGGGTATTGCTGGTTGGGGACGAAACCAGCAGGAAAGCAATTAGTGGCAGCGACGCCGGGAGGAGGGAGCTGTTGTGGCATGCTCATGTGTTGCGGCATGCTCATGTGTTGTGGCATGCTCGTTTGTTGGGGTGGGTAGGTTGGCCTTGGAGCGGAGATGGTGATCCACTGGTGCAAGTTTGTACTCCACATGCGCTGGTTTTGGGTTGCGGTGTAGGTGGGGTAAGACATGTTGGTGTATGTGGAGGGTGTCTGTTGTGTGTGGGTGGGTGGAGAGTTTGGTAGTTTAAGATACTTTTGAAAGTTGTGATGGTGAAAGTAATTTGGTCTGAGAGTTTGAGATATTAGGAGAGACGGAAGGGGATATCAGCTATTTATTGCAGCGCAGGAAAGAAGATGTTCGGACTGCGATATATCATAACCTTGGTTCATTTTGAGGTGTTTTCATGACTGTATGCTATGGATGTAACAGCGGCGTTGGAGGCCGAGCACATAGACGAAACTAGACCAGTAGAGAGCACTGCAATTACCTGAGAATACATGGAAGCGTCCTCCGAGGCATCCATTAGTCACCTTAGACCGCAAGAACAAGCCTATCGAGTCAATGTCCATTACGCGCGACCTCGCACAGACGATTGCTCTGTGACTCTTCTCAAAATTGCCTCGAGCCGAGCCACTATGCTAACCGCTTGTGTCGGGGCCACAACCCGTGATGGTACCAAAATCCCCTTGAGTCCAGCTTCCGGCCCAAGGCACCCATATCGCGCGGCAAGGCACGGATACCCTGCTCTTCCATGAGTTCGCCCACCCATTTAGCGAACTCCTGGCGCGTCTCCACTTCTTCCTTGGTCATAGACGACTCGGTCATGGAGCTGAAGCTCATGATGAGATCGAACCAGTCGTATACGCGCATATCGGCAATGATCCAGCGCTTTCCCGGCGTGAACTTGCGATGGGTCGCGATTATCGCTCTTGCGACATCCTCGCCGTGGATGAAGTGCACGGCGCCTCGCTTAGCAACATCGTCTTTGGACTGGCCGAGGCGAGGCAGCCATCTCGCGGGCACGCGTTCACCGCCGTATAGACCCGATAGATTCAGCACACAGCCGTGGAGCGCTAGCAATTCGTCTTCCGCGACGGCCCGCTTATCCTCCTTGTCGTATGGCGCGTCATCGGCGCTCCAGTCATTGGGCAGTTTGTTGAAGATACCCGTGGATCCGAGCTGCACCCAATTGTTCTTTGCGCCGTGAACGGAGCGGTAGAGCCCTATGATGGTCTTTGACTGCGAGTGTCCCACCAATGGAAAAGTGATGACTACAGTTTGCGCTGCTGGCAGGCGCTTGTATGGCTCCGCATCACCAGATTCGGGGTCGAACTTGAACGGGATCGTGTTGTCTCTTCCGCTTGTGGTGGTTGCCGCATACGTGATATCGGTGTCCTCCAGTTGCGGAATCAGGAACGTGGACGTCCATCCGGCGCCCAGAATCAGTAGGTCCACCTCTTTCATTTGCTCGCGCAGCATTCTGTGTTGTGGGTGTGGCGATTATTGCCGTGCGTCATGCAGCATACACGAGAGATACTTTGTTTGGATGTTATAATTTTCAAGAGGTTGAGCCAATGGGTGACACAAGGTGGGAGCTACAGCTGGTGTTGTCGCGTGAAGTCGTGACGTCTCCACACGAGCCAAATTAGCTGCTTGATGCACGGCCCATCTGTTCGGCGCAACCATCCGCACGGGAATTCTAGCTAACCTGCAGGAGACTGATGTTACTTATTTGAAAGCCTACATACTTCAGACTTTCCCGGGCTATAGGAGGCCATGTAATGTGTATGCTGCATCACAAGGTGGAGATAAATACCATGTTGAAAGCGACGAGGATACTGGGTTTGGCCTCTAGAAACTTGTTTCTAGTCTCTAGAGGTGTCAATCCAGCCATAAGAATCCAATGGGACCAAGTTGGATCGTACCCATGGCAGGCGCCATCTCAGTCCAGACGCCAGTTTCCCTGGATTCTCGCAAATCTGCTTTCGATCGAAATCTCGAATTGACGTCATGTGCGGGAGCTTGTCCTCACGTGCCAGCGCGGTAGCCCATTACATCTGAAACGCGCTGATTGGCTGCTTCCGCTTCCAGGGGCCGCGTCTTCGTCATCACTATGAGCTGCGCATCAGCCCGCGAGCTCAGATAATCTGTCGCAAAGATCATTCGCTCATTGCATGCTGTTTGCGCATTCCAATTGATCATCCAATGCGAACATCACGAGTTTCCCGAGACGCGTCCCGCGTTGTCGCAGCGAGTCGCACGCAACGAGCGTTACGTCAGACACGAAGCGCGACCAATGCGCCAGCTCCAGTCAAACGCGACCCAGGTAGCGACGAGAATGCTGGATCAGATTCAGACCTCAGCTCTGCGCCAGCGGACTCCGCCTCGGATGGCGAGACGCGACGAATGCCTATGAAGAGGAAAAGAGGCCAGGATATGCCAATCCTTGTGAAGAAGGAGGTAGAGGAGACATCAATCACTGCAGTCGCATCCCCGAAGAAAGTCGCCAAGGTCAAGAAAGCGCGTCGTGCGCCTGCGAAGAAGATCAAGACCAGCGATGGAACTGTCACGATGGAGCCACCTGCGAATTGGGAGGAGATATATACCCTGACGAGAGAGATGCGGAACGAGAACCTCGCACCAGTGGATACTATGGGATGCGAGAGCCTGGCGAAAGACATCAGGTCGCCTCGCGATCGACGGTTTCAAACGCTCATTGCTTTGATGCTGAGTAGCCAGACCAAAGACACGGTCTTAGCGCCTGTCATGCGAGGCATGCAGGAGAGGATGCCTGGGGTGTGTTGATACAAAGCTATACGGCGATTCCCAGCTAACATAGTGCAGGGCTTCAACCTCGAATCGGTCCTCGCCTTAGAACCTCCCGAACTTAACGCGTTCATCAACAAAGTCGGCTTCCACAACCTCAAGACCAAGTACATCAAGCAAACGGCCGAGATATTGAGAGACAAATTCGACGGCGAAATTCCAGATACTATCGAAGGGCTCGTGTCGCTACCGGGTGTCGGACCTAAGATGGGGTACCTGACGATGAGCGCAGCTTGGGGCAAAACAGAGGGCATTGGTGTCGATGTCCACGTCCACCGCATCACCAACCTATGGGGCTGGCACAAGACTCAACAGCCAGAACAGACGCGTGCAGCGCTGGAGTCATGGCTACCAAAAGACAAGTGGCATGACATTAACAACCTGCTCGTGGGCTTTGGGCAAACGATATGCCTGCCTGTGGGCAGGAAGTGTGGCGATTGCAAGTTGGCGGAGAGAGGTCTCTGTCCTTCAGCAGTCGTAGCTAAGAGCACGAAAGTCAAGAAAGAAGCTGTTGTGAAAGTAGAAGCGCCCAATGGCAGCGAAGAGGCGGCGGTGAAAGAAGAGAAGGTGGTGGCTGAAGTCGATGAGATCAAAGCAGAAGATGTGGAAGTTGCGATAGACATAGAGGATATTGGGCAGGCGCCACGAAGAAGGCCGCAGAGAAAGAAGTAGTAAGTAGTCCTAAAACATATCCCGAAGCCATGGCACGGCGTCTGACCTCGAAATCAGAAGCGCACACTTTGAACACAGTATTACATTTTGTCGCGTCGGGTTGGTGTTTAGCAGCAAACGCTCTAGTACGGTCCTGGAGTGGGCCCTTTCGTCATGCAGACATTGGGACCATATCGCGCCTTCCAGTCTTCACCAGGCAACATCACGCAGTCGAGCTCTTATCTTCATTCCTCAATCTACTCACCGTGAATTCTTGCGAGCGCCACTAAACGAGTGCTGGCAGCGCTTCTGTCACCTCATCCTATAGGCAATTCACTGCACACCAGCCAAGTGCTGCCTGGTCAGGCACGGTCTTTGGTCCCTGGCAACCTCATCCGTGGTACTCAAATACGCTCCCCCACGCCTACTTAAGCATTCGCGATAGGCCCACCCCTCAACCGCACCTGAGAAGAGAAATTCCACCGATCTCACTTCCGCAGACGCAGCCCACAACGCCGCTGCACCTACACCACAGCAGCTAACTACCACAAGGCTCAACGACCAGCATCCACTACCACGCCATCCACCAGTGTGGAAGCCAGCACCATGCCATCTCGACCAGAATACGAGGCGCCTACTCGGAGTCAGTCACAACGTGAGGGCCGTTGCACTGCATCCGAACCAACAAACTCCGATCCTGCATACGTCCCCATACTCCAACGCGCCTTTCCGCGCGTCGCGATTCTACTGGCATGCGTCATCTACCTCGCATCGTCATTCGCAGCTGTCTACGTCGGATTCCACGGCATCGCGAACATGATACACCCTCGACATAACCAAGCGGTTGACGAGTATTTGGTGCTTTCACAATCCAAGTACACAGAGGATGCACTGTACAAGAATTTGGATAAAGTTCTCTCTAGCCAACTAAACCGCGGCTTCATGGAGACCCATGAAGACTGTCTTGTCCGCGGTCTAAAGGAGGCCAACTACGAACTCTACGGCCTCGGCTTCCAGTACCCTGACATGCGCACGCAGGTCATGGACTGGACGATGGAGAACTGTGGTAGACTGCAGTACACGCCACAAGTGGTGATACAGGATCCAACCCCACAGCAGGCTGTGCTGACATACTGGGCGGATGCGAGCTATCGCTCTCGCCGCATGCTTGAGGGAGCTCTGGGAGCCATGCAGCAGCAGGCTCGTCGTTTCTTGAATCTACTTATGAGGCCGTTCACGGATAAGAAAACATCACCCATCACCGAACACGTTCCTGTTAGTGCCAACACTAGCGGAACGCTTCCTCCGAGTCGAGCCCTGCCCAAAGTACCGTTCGGCTTCGCTCTGCGCTGCGAGCCCACCGAACCATGCCGCCTAGTCTACCCACCCGGTTCTTCTAAGCGTACAAATAAAGTCAGCGTCTCACGCGAGGTCCTCGCGAAGCTCAAACGCGAGATCAAAGAAATGCGGGACGCCAGCCGCCAGGTCAAAAAGGCTAAATGGGCTACTGAGCAGGTTGTGATCTTTTTCGACTACATCCACGCCTCTATCTTGGTGGTCATGTTTGCGATCATCTTCGGTGTGGCACCGTTCGTCATACCCAAGGCCGTTCGCCCTCCTCCCCCTTCCCGCAAGACGGAACAGATCAAAATCATGCCCGCATCCTTGCATTTTTGTTTTGTAGGAAGACTGATATCAGAGCTGTTGTTTTCGTATCCAATACAGCTCCCGTATGGCGCCCGGTGGGTAACGCCCTTCCAGCTCTACTTCCTGTTCGTTGGTAACACGATGCTTCTTCAATTCTTCATCATTAGCGGACCGCGGTTCGAGAATATCAACCTCGTATACAAGCAGATCAAAGAGCTCTACTTCATCGCCCGAGGGTGGGAGGTACCTGACGGAGCGATGGACAGCATGTTGACTTGGTACGGAATTCACATTCAGCCGGCGGACCCCAAGCCCAAGCCTACGGAGGTTCCTGGCGGAACGATGGATAACATACTCGCTTGGAACGGAATTCACTTTGAAGCGGTGGACTCCAAATTCAAGCTTCCGGAGGTACCTAGCGGAGTGGTTGACAAAATGTTCTATCAGTGCGGAGTTCAGTTTCAATACGCGGACCCCAAACCCAAGCCGACGGAGGAACCGGCCACGGTCAAAGTAACCATGTCTTCCCCATCTGATAACCGCCCACAGCACGCGCAGTCCCACCCATCGCACCAGGGTCTGGCCGCTCCGAGCAGTTCACTCCAACAAGGTCCCGAGGCGCACTTCAAGAAGGTCCAAGAAGGTGCTGAGGCGCACTTCAAGAAGGTTCAAGAAGCGTCAAAATCTCAGCCAGCCGAGTATATCGATGTTCCCTATATCGGATCCGTCCTCGATACTGACAGCGAGACCGAGTCTGAGGACGAGCATGGTAGCTGCGTCGATCTGGCCTGTGGCGTTACGCCTCAAGTCAGCGATGTGGAATCTGGCTGGTCTATTGTGGATGCTTAGGAAAGGCATGAACATCTAGTCTGGGATATGACACGGTTGTTGTCTCATGGCATGTAGTACGGGAGTTGTCAGACATGTCGGCGCTAGAGCCGTTCCGTCTGGCACGTGTGGTGCAAGTATGGTATATGTACAAGAACATGGTTCTTTTCGCATGGCGATCGACGTCGGCCTCAGCGGCTGTCGATATCTACTAGTAGTGTCAGATCAATATGATTGATAAATTTCACGTTATCCCCCATTCGTGACCATGATATCCAAAAGTGTCGAGCATGAAGATGAGACATGACTCGGCATAGTTGGAAGCCAGTGGAAGTTGCTACTATCTACACTCCTTGAGGACTTGCCTACTCGGGACTTTGTTGATTCTACTCATAAGGTCAGGTGGTGGTGACGGACCGGGAGGGTGAATAGAAAAACTACCGCAATCCATGGTTTTCCTACGAGTTACTCATTTAGGAAGGAGTTTGGTGTGAGATGAGACGAAACAGACTTGGAAGCTAGACTTCTACATTGAGCGCGGGAAACCACCACAGCGCACTACATCACCAGATTAAACTTTTCAACACAGTAACATTAGAAGTACACTACACTACTACACCCTAGATCTAACAACCAACTAATCTCAAACCCTGCTCCAGAACTCCAGCGCTTTTACAAATCATCCTACACAATCCCCCTCTCCTCTATTTCTTCCCATTTCCATTCCCATTCCCATTCCCATTGCCCACACCAAGACACTTCCCCGCATCCTCCAATTCACCCAACACCCTCATCTCAAGCTCACTCAACGCATCCTCACCTGATCCCTTCCGGGTACTCAGCATCTCCAGCTCGCGCTCATCAACAGCAACGATACGCTCGCGTAGCGCACTCTTGCGGCTAAGCCAGCTCTCGACGTCTTCCTTGATGTTTTCCTTATCCCAGTCCAGGAGGGCGACTTCATTGGCTTGGATACCCAACTTGGGTCCTTGTTTGCGGACGTTTTCGAGGATGCTGGCGATGAGGGAGAGGGAGTGGACTTCCGAGGCGACGGTCAGTGTGATCTTTGTGGCTGATGTGCGGGACGAAGGGTTCGAGTTTATGCTTAGGGCTGAACGGGCGAGTTGCTCGGGGAACTGGTTGAGGAAGGATGAGATTTCTGCGGCGATGGGCGGGCCGACTGAGAGCAGGAGGTTGAGGCAGAGGGGAAGGATGCCTTTTGTCCAGATGCTGTACATGCGTGATGGGTTGTCGAAGGGTCCCATGCCGTTGGTGCGTCGGTAGTAGTTCATGATGTTTGCGGTGTTGAGTTGGCTCAGTATGCCTTCTACCGCCATGGTCTCGGCGAGGGCTGAGATGCTCGATAGAGAGAGTAGGAAGAGGACGCTGAGCTCGCCGTAGATGGGGTCGTCGACGCCGTTGTGGGGGATTGTCAGGCGGTCGGCCCATGAGAACAGACTGGTGGCGTAGCGCACGGTGTTGCTGTTGGCGAAGAGGAGAGCGGCTTGTTGTTGCCACTTCGACATCTCTGGTATCGCAATGATACGTTGGAGAAGCGCAGTGAGGAGGGCGAAGTCAGATGGCGAGACGGATGCGGGTTCGGCGTGGAGTTGGTTAGCTAGGCTGCGGAAGCCCTTTGCAACCGTGTCTGACAGAATCTCGAGGAGTTGGGTGGAGATGGGTTCCGTGTATTTGTTGTGGCTTGTGGGCATTGTGCCGCGGAAAGAGGAGCGGAAGGATGCGTCGTCTGACGTGTCCGTGTCTTCGATTAGATGGAAATGAAGGGCGAGGTACAGGATTCGTAGCAGAGACCGGTAGTAGTGCACAGCGTCAGTCGAAAACACGTTCTCGAAGTCGGGCGTAGAAGTGCGTATGGCGTTCCATACTGGAGCGAGTAGTTGGCGTGCCTCACTTGTTCGTACTTTGGCCTCCACCAGCTTCTTAAGCAGTGCAAAAGCCAGATCTGCTCGCAGGACCATGAGCTGACCAAACAACGCTTCCGGAAGATTCGATTGTTGATTGGCGACCATGCACTTCTGAATGACACCGACAAGGACCTTGACTATGCGCTCATCCTTTGCTACGACCTGGCTCAGCTCAAGAGCCAGCAGCTTCCAGCCTTGGAGCAGTAGGACCTGGGATTCAACGAGGCCAAGATTGTAGTTAGCCTTTTCCACTTCGGCAGCGAAGCCCGTGCCTTCTCTAGGGCCTGTCCATTTGCTATTGAAGCCCAAAAGCTGCTGAGCAAGGTCGATGTCGTAGAAGAAGGCGCGCCCGAAGGTCTCTGGGTAGAGCGTGGTTCGCTTGAGGTTTCCCAATGAGACACCAGGATACTGTTGCTCGAGGTTTTGTTTGAGATAGCCGTGCAGGGATGTACTGTAGGACGGCAGCTCCAAAGCAGTATCTTCCAGGTATGTCAGACTCGGCACAACATCCTTGAGCACAGTGATGTCGCCCACTTGCCGCGAGCTGTGGAGGTACATAGCGATGACTTCGCAAGCTAACGACGCAAACCTGTTCTGGAAGGAGCGCTCCAATGTCTCGCT